GGCATTTGATTGCTTGTACCTAGCAGGTACTGGGTTGTAAATACCTTCACTGAGAACTCAGTCCTCCAAATGTGCAGCTAAAATAGTTATGCTGCAGCAAAGTGGGTCCCCAGGATAAAGAGACTCCCACGAGCACACCATGTTGCAAGCATAGCATCAACACTGACTGCAAGCAGAGTACCATTGTGTCCTGTCTCCATTGCCCCAAACTTCAGTTAGCACAACTGTGCGGCAGAGGCCCTTTCACAGCCTGCTAAACTGAAATTCTTGGGGAAAATACATATGTCAAACGGATGCTAAGGTGTAGGGACAGTGTTCCTCCTGGTTGGATGCTGGTGTTCACTGCTGTTTGATTTGAGGCGAATCCATGGAAAGTTGTTGAAGTAGGACTGGGGGGAAAGGGGTGAACGTGGGTGCAGATATCAATCCAAACAGCCACGGATGCAAAAAGCTTGCGTGTATATCAATTCCCAAGTGAATATGGAGCTCTTGGTGGGGCCTGGCTCAGGGTGTGTTCAGAAGACTTCAGGAGTAATAAGGGTGGCAGAGCACTTGCCTGGCATACACAAGGTGCTGGGTTCAAGCCCCAGAACCACAGAAAAGATGGAGGGGAGAGGATGGTTATAAGAAGAAAAAAAGAGGAAAGAGGGAGAAAGAAAAGGAGGGGTGTCATCCTAAGTCCTGGGTTCTGCATCTCAGATTGGGGATATGATTCACTTACTGGAAGAGACAAAGGAATGTGCTGGGCGATGTGGGATTGGCAGCAGTAAATGCAAGGCACATGGTCTCCTCAGTGTTGAGAGGAAGATGTCTGAGTTCCATGTCTCATCACGACCAAGGGCAGAAAAAAATCAAAACCAGAAAGTCTAATTATGGAAAACATGACTATCCCCCAGGTTGCTGTGGCCAGGCTGGTAGCTCCTCAGAATACATCCATGGCCCCTAAGCCCCAGCAGCTGCTTTGCCAGTGAGTTTGAGTGAAAGTTCTCAGATTAAAAGGCATTGAGATGCCAGGCAGAAGACAGATGCCATCGGAGAGGACAGCAAAAATGACTGGGTCCCAGAATTATAAGGCCCCTTGGCTACCTGCTGTAAAAAGAAAAGCTGAAGCATCCTAGCCCTGGCTCCCTAGGAGTCCCTGGGTGGGGGGATCAGCATGACACAGGATGCTTGGTACCAGGGACCCAAGGAGTCCCTGTATATCCCAGGAGGAGATGGGTCCACCACTCCAAACCCTTCATCTCTGCCCATGTGGGCCCCATACCCTGAATACAACCTTTCTAGGTTGCTCACTGACTTCTGTGACTGGCCTGAGCCTCTGACCAGCCCCTGAATTACTCTACACCCTCCAGACAGGTACAGTCCCCCCAAACTCCAGTTCATCCCTGCTGTTTCTGGACACGCTTCAAGCTTCCAGTGGGGGCCTTAGCTCATCCTCTGAGCCAGCCTCCATAGTCGTAGCTGCCACCATAGAGTGGGCATCAAGAGCTCCAGCATCTCCCCGTGCCTGGCTCTTGGCAGGTTGGGACAAGGGGCATTTCTCCCTCCAGGATCTCACAGAAGCTGACACCTCACTCCTGTGGGGACTTTAATAGCTGCAACACAGAGCTAGGAGTGGAGGTGGTCCCTGGAGACCCACACCTTATGAATGATACTTTGTATGTTTGGGCTGTCAGGGAGCCTTGCTGGGCACAACTGTTGTTCTGGTGCTGCAGATTCCCTGTCCTTACTCAGATCTGGAAAATTCTCTTTAACAAGCGTCCCCTCATTTATAATGTGGCTCAGGAAAATTTCAAGGGATTTTAAATGGCTTCATTAATTTACATAATTTTTTATGATTGGCATCTGTCACAGTTTTTTGGAGCACAAAGTTTTTCACATCTTTTTGGAAATAGATCCTCTGCTATTTTACAATATACATTTTTGATTTATATGTAACAGAAGAAATCCCAAGGTCTCTTAAAGACCTGTTTCCCATTGGGTTAAATAATTTAATTGCATAGAATCACATTTGTCAAAAAAATTAAATTCATTTCATCAACCAGTGCCTCCCTGTGATAGGCAAGGATGCCATTAACATGTGGAGGGTGTCATTGTCATGTCCTTAGACCAGGCCTTGGGGGGTAGCCTAGAAGCCTGTTTCAGAACAGCTGAGCCTCTGGCAAAAGGCTGCCCGAGCCAGTCATCTCCTTCCCAATTCCATAGAGCTGCTCCTCAGGTTACCTGAGTTCTCACAGCCACAGTAAAGCCACAGTCACAGTCACAGCCACAGCCACAGCCACAGCCACAGCCACAGTCACAGTCACAGTCACAGCATAGCCACAGCCACAGTCACAATCACAGTCACAGTCACAGTCACAGTCACAGTCACAGCCACAGTCATAGTCACAGTCACAGCCATAGTCACAGCCACAGTCACAGTCACAGTCACAGTCACAGCCACAGTCACAGCCACAGCCACAGCCACAGTCACAGACACAGCCACAGTCACAGCCACAGCCACAGTCACAGTCACAGTCACAGCCACAGTCACAGTCACAGCCACAGCCACAGTCACAGCCACAGCCACAGCCACAGTCACAGACACAGACACAGCCACAGTCACAGACACAGCCACTGTCACAGCCACAGACACAGCCACAGTCACAGACACAGACACAGTCACAGCCACAGCCACAGTCACAGACACAGCCACTGTCACAGACACAGACACAGCCACAGTCACAGACACAGCCACAGTCACAGCCACAGCCACAGCCACAGTCATAGTCACAGTCACAGCACAGTCACAGCCACAGTCACAGTCACAGCACAGCCACAGCCACAGTCACAGTCACAGCCACAGCCACAGTCACAGTCACAGCCACAGCCACTGTCACAGCCACAGCCACAGCCACAGCCACAGTCACAGCCACAGTCACAGTCACAGTCACAGCCACAGCCACAGCCACAGCCACAGTCATAGCTACAGCCCAGCCACTTGGCCCTACATTCTATCCCCCTCTCATGCCAATAGTGCCTGGCACAGTTTGACAAAACTAAGGCCTATCTGCACTTCTCCTGGAACCCCTCACCTACACACACACACACACACACACTTTACGTAGACATATATGTATAAAAGACATCCAGGCTGCTAAGCATCAGCCTGACCCCATACACAACTCACAGGATCACTCTCTCTGTCCTTTGCTGACACTGGTCCCACCCCATCCTCCATCATAACTTAAAGACCTAGATGTGACACTGAGTAGCCTGCCTGCCTGCCTCAGCACTCACAGGTCTCTCCCAGCATTCTGGCCACTTCTTCCCCCACTTCACTGCTTCACAAGGGCACTGGTCTCTTACCCAAACCTAAAGGGGTTTGCTGGGGCAGACACCTTATCCCACAGGAATGGGCTTCTAAATCAGCTATGGTGCCTACACCTGCCTACAGGATCCCATGAGGCAATTTCAAATCTGCAGCAAAGCCCTAGAGTAAACCCAGGCCTGAGCTGCCCTGTCCAGGCCCTCACCACTGCCACAGCTGCTTCAACCTGGCAGCACCCTGAGACCTGCCCCAGGGACCTGGGAACTGCTCCTTTAGGCATCTCTGACAAAGGCACTTTTGTTGTTGTTTTGTTCTTTTGAGACAGGGTCTGAGTGTACAGCTCTGGCTGGTCTGGAACTTGCTATGTAGGTCAGGCTGCCCTCAAATCCACAAAGATCTGAATGTCTTTATGCTAGAATTAAAGGTGTGTGCCACCAAGTCCCAGCACTTACCTCTATTTATTCCTCTTCTTCTGTCCCTTCTCAGGGACTCCCATAGGTGGCTCCTCTGAGCACAGGTGGGAACTGTGACCACTCAGCTCCAAGGGAGAAGCCTCACTGTTGCTGAGAGAAACAGGGATGGGAGATTGGGTGATCGTGCCCAAAAGCTACAGGAGAGGCCAGTGAAAGTAGCCCAGCTCACCCCTGCTGGGAAGTAACTCCAGACTCACCCCTGCTGGGAAGTAACTCCAGACTCACCCCTGTCTGGGCACTAACTCCAGGTTCACCCCTGTCTGGGCACTAACTCCAGGCTCACCCCTGTCTGGGAAGTAACTCCTGTCTAGGAAGCTCTCAGTATCCCTGGTCTATGGAACTCAGGAGATGACTGAAGGTGGCTTCCCCAAGGGAGGGGGCAGGGGGTTTCTTCAGCACATTTCAAATACGCCTCAGGGGTGCTCAAACTGGGGGAGCAAGACAGACAGCATTGGAGATGTACCCTCCTCAATCCTCTCAAAACATCATGTGATGTTCCACGTCTAATCTTCTATGTGCCCCTATGTATGGACAAGATGGTCTGTCACTGCAGACATGTAACCACTCCAGGATCCATGAGGTTATCTCATCTAATAGATGGCATCTTATCTCAAAGATGCTACTCTACTGGCAGGAAGTGTGCCAGGAGTCACAAAGCTGGCTTGCATTCACATGGCAACCTTCCACACTCCAGGCGTCTTCAAAAACAAGAAATGGCCAGATCCTGTGCATGGTATATGTTCAGCCAGTCACCCAGACCCGCAATCCCATGGTATCCACCAGGAGGTCTCTAGGGCCAGGACTTGGGTATAGTAGGGAAACATGCTACCAGAGGACAGTGAGGTCAGCAGCCTATACCCAACGATGCAGGTCCTCCAGCTGGAAGACAAGCAAAGCCTGAAGATGGTACAGCACCACCTACTGACCAGCACCTGGCTGGTCATATCTGGCCAGGGCCTCTCCTCCCCAAAACCCACAGCAGGACCTCTGGCAAAACCAGAAAAGGGAAGAGAGGAGAGAGGGTGCTGAAGCAGACCATCCAAGGCCCTCTCCTGTGGCCACCGTCCCCTGTGACTTCAATCAGAACACCTGAGAGACCCACTAACTAACTCTGAATGCCCTGAAATAAAACAAGAAATGGCCAGATGTAAGGAGACTTTAATCACAAAGAAAGACATCATCAGACCAAACACTTGAGCACAGACTCTACCCAGAGCATGACTTCCTCCCAAGCAGCCCCCTCAAGAAGGAGGCCCACACCTCACCTACAGGGCAGGAGACTTTGAAGGGCTGGCCAATCCCCAGCTCCAGGCCACACTGGACATAGAACCATGACAGATCAGACAAGAGACAGACAGATCCATAGGTGACATGTGGCTCCTAATGTCTCCATTCCCCAGTCCCCAGGCTGGCCTTCATGTCCAACAGAAGATGCACTCAATCTCCCAATTAGAAGGGCCCAGGGCTCCATATCTTACAGATGACCTTGCCTGCCCTCTCTACCCAAGTGTAGCAGGGTTCAGGGTCAGGACTAGAAATGGGTCAGGACCTTGGCTGGGGTCAAGGCTGAACAAGATTCTGCCAAGAAATGGCTAGAGACTAGGGATCCTGGCCTGGGGCTGTGGGGCCCAGCAACAGATGACTTCCATATCTGGTACACAAACTTGAGCTTTGTCACTTTCTTCCACTAGCCCACTTGTATGGTCAGCCTGAGCTCTATCAGGCAGCTGTCGAGACAGCAAGATCCACATCAGCCTGGGCAGGGGGATTCTGCCATGACCAGGTAGGGTGTGGCCAAAGCAGACCAAACAGTGTCTACCAGCTCTCAGAGCTCTGGGCAATGCTCTTCCAGTTTGCCAGGTACGGCCTTCCATCTGGCAGACCCTCACAGCAGCTGGTCCGTGCGCTTGCTGCGCCACACCACCAGGCCAGCCATGGCCACGGTCAGCACAACAGGCACTGCGATCAGAGGGATGAGCACTTCATCAGGGGGATCTTCCCAGTGGGCCCTGTCCACGGTGCAGTTGGAAAAGAACTGCCTGTGGATGCCAGTAATGAAGCTCTGAGCCAGCGGGTTGGGCCAGTAGCAGCCCATGATGTTGGTCTCCACTTCCGTGCAGTTAGTGAAGCTCTCGTAGTACCTGCAGAGGCAGAAGGTAAGACTATAACTTTCCCAATACCCCTCACACCTGCCCTGCCCAGGACCCGACAGACAAGTAGGGAATGGTCCCTGCTCAGTCCCACTTGGCCACCTACCAAAACTGTGGCCTTAGAAGTCACTTCCAACTGGGTCATCTGTACCTGTGGCCTTTTCTCCATGTCATTTTCCTACATCTGTGATCATTATCTGATCCCCTGAAGCTGTAAGCTCCCAGGGCCCATGATGTCTGTTCAGCAACCAACCTCCCCAACACTACACAGGTGTCCCCAAAAGATGTGGAGCCCAGGCCCACAGCCACAGGACTTGTAAGGCCCTCACCATCAGAGCATCCTGAAGGTCTAAGGCCAGGGCCAGCTTCCTCCCAACCAAATCAATCCATGCTCACATGCCAGGTAGACCTATGAGGCCCAGCCTCGGCCTGTCTGCTACTGTAAAGTTGCTCCTCTGCCCCTCTTACAGTATGCAAGGGAACTGCTCATATGAGCAAATGTGGGAAAGGCCCCAGAGAACGGGCCTCATCTAACCAGACTTTCACTGGTTCTGTAGGCTTCCCAGGGGCTGCCACTACCAGGAACCAAAGTTCAGCCTGGTGTATGTAAAAGATTGCCAAGTGGACCCTAGTCTAGGATGCAGTAGGCAGCCTCTGGAGGTGGTGACATCCCTGCTATTGGGGTCTTCGAAGCCAAGGTCAGCTAAGGAGTTCTGGAGGAAACTGAGAGGATGGATGTCTGCCCAAAGCCAGCATCTCTCCCCAGGACAGCACTTTCCCAGGCCTGTTCAGATGAAGGACAAACACAGGAGAAAGAGGATCCTGGCCCTGCTTCCCATGAGGTCAGGGCAGGGGCCCACCTCCTCCTTCCTGTTCTGTTCCAGGAAGCAGTGGGGGCTTTCCCATTAACAGGAAGGAGCTTCCAAAAGGCTGCTTCAAAAATGTCATTGCAATCTGAATTGCCAGAAACATCAGAATAAGGATGAAAAGGGGGGTGGACTATAGGGTCCAAATCCTCTGTGTCTACTCCTCCTAGGCAGAGTCCTGGAGCCTACTCATTCAACCAGATTCCTGACTCACACTAGGCTGCTTCTCAAAGCCCAAACCACATACCTGTGGCCTCCAAGGTAACCTTTACAAGGAAGAATCACAAACAAAGAGGCCTGGAATCCTGTCCAGACTCAAAGGCTCCACTAGGCTTCACTCTCAGGGCATTTAGGACAGGGAGTCACAAACACCCCCAGAAAAACCTTTTGCCTCAAAAAGCCCCCTCATCTGTATTTGTGTTGAGAATCACATGCTATGGCCTCCATTTTTCCAAGGCCTTCCCACTAAACTGCCCAGAAATACCACCCACAATTGGCCTCACAGCTCCATGTGACTAAGCCAGGCAAACCCCAGAAGCCCCTGCAGAGTGCCAGCAGCCCAATGACTGGGTCCCACGACCAACAGGGAACTCACACGATGAACTCGGATAGGTTGCACCACTTCCAGACATCCACCTTCTGCATCATGTCGGCGAAGGCTTTCCCACAGCGGGGCAACCTCTCCAGCATTCCTGTCTCATTGCAGCCGCACACTTGGGCACACTCACCTAGAGAGGACAAAAGTGGGGGATGTCTAGGGAACTCTGATAAGCACAGCCCCTCCTGCTGACCCTCAATCCTGACCCTGGGGTAAAACAAGCAAGTCTCCACTTGACCACAGCAGTGTAACAAGGAGGGAGCCATAGAGAAGCCCTAGGCCAGAGTCCTTGGGAGTGAGCAGAGGTCCTAAGCATATCCAAGAGCCTCCAACTCCAGCTCAGTGGCCCAGGGTGCCTGCAACAGTCCTGAGAAAGGCTCTGAGCTGGTATGGACCTACCAGTCCTATCATAACCTGCTCTGGTTCTGCGACTCCTGAGACAGAGGCCCCATGGGGACTCATGCTCCCAGCAATGAGAGAGTCATGAAATTCTCAGGTCTAATACTGCTTGTCACCCCAGGATTTCACCATACCATCCCCTCTACCTCACACCTTCATTCTATATGCACGGTCCCAATAGGAACCAGAAATGTCTTACTTCCCACCAAGCAACGCCATCTTGTTCTCCAGAACTCACTCCATACCATGGCAATCCTATTTCCAGGTGGCATAACTACACTGCTTCTAAACTTCCTTTACCTACCCCCTATTTTGTTCCCATCATATAACCAAGGGAAACACAGCTCTGTGTGGCTTGGTGGGTGGGTGTACAGATCCCTGTATACTGATGTGTACAACCCTGCTGTGTCCTGAACAGAGTGGGGTGTGTCTGGGAGTTTACAGCCCTACTGTGTGTGTGTGTGTGTGTGTGTGTGTGTGTGTGTGTGTTTATATATTTGTGTGTCTGTGTAGGGTGTGTATGTATCTGTGTGGGGTGTATACTGTGGGGGGTCTGTGTGTGTGGTGTGTATGTATATCTGTGTGTCTGTGTGGGATGTGTCTGTATTTGTGGCTGTGTGATGTGTGTATGTGTGTGTGTCCATGTGTGGGGTGTGTGTGTCTGTGTGGTGTGTGTCTGTGGGTCTGCATGTGGCTTGTCTGTAAGTCTATGTCTGTGTGTGTGTCTATGTGGTATGTGTATGTATGTGTGTGTGTGTGGTGTGTGTCTGTGAGTCTCTCTCTCTCTCTCTCTCTCTCTCTCTCTCTCTCTCTCTCTGTGATGTTCTGAATAGACAACCCTGACAACCCTGCTGTCTACATCCTGGGGTATGGATGGACCCAGCTCTGTGCCCTAGAAGCCAGTGAAGGGCTGGAGGAGGCAAGAGAGAAGGTTTTGTTTGGAAGGTTTGGCTATACCCATTATCAGCTCAGCCTCAGTTTGTAAACATGTTAAATGTCTACAGGCTCTCGAGCTGTGCCCACAGCAGCCATGTTTAAGTTTTATTGCAGATGGTGGCAAATGCTCAATTATTTCCCTCATTTGGCAAAATCTTGTGGAAGTAATAGATGCATGGTATGCTCTGAGAGGCCAGCCAAGCCTGTCAGGGTCCCACATTCTCCCACATACAGCGCACACTGGGCACTGAGGGCTGCTAATTAAACCACCTAAAGGAAACAGAGGGTCCAGACCTAAGCATTTTCTGGTGGCCCACCAGATTTCAGAAGGGAAGCCACAGTCCTCTGAATCCTCCCAGAGAGAAGCCCCATGAGGCCCCAGGTTTACAGACAAGAGCCCAAGGTTTATCCTGCCCCACCTATGGCAGGAAGCCTGGTGATCTGGCTCAGGGTGGGCTCTACAGCTCACCTTGTGGGTGGCCCTACCACCACACAATATTCTTCTAGGGACAGGTAAGTGACAAGAGTGAATGAGGTTAGAATTTGCAGAGGCCCTCGGGTGGCCTTGGCATTCACCTGGGAAAGGGACCACACACCTACAGAAAGCAAAGCTGCCTTCCTCTGCACCCATGGGGAACACGAGAGACCAATGCCTGGAAGCCAGAGAACAGGACATAGAGGGCTTCCCAACATGTCCAAAACTAGACCTAAGCACCAAGTCTGACAACACTGGGTGTCACCAGGGCTCATCACCAGAGGTGTAGGACAGTCAGGAGCTAGTATTTGCATATGTGTGCCTCTCTTTCTGACTCTGAGCATTCTGAAGCCCCCCAGGAAACTGTGATGATAAAAGGAAAGGGCTCACAAGCCTGGCTCTGCATGTGAGAAACGGTGGGACAGAGGGTGACCACATTCTCCCAGGACAGCCCCTGGACACAGGTGTCAGTGTCTCACCTCTCCCACAGCAGCAAGCCATGGCCTCCTGCCCCCTCCACTGGTTTCTTGCACCTTTGCCCACACACCCACCTGTCCACCTGCCCACTGCAGAACTGGATCATCTGAGAACTCAGAATGTCACAGCCAGGGTCTGGTCCCTGTCTGAGTCCCTGTGTCCTCTTGGACACAGAACAGCCACACACTTGGTGTCCCATATCCAACTGCAGCACAGGACCCTGTCTGGCCCCTGGTGCTAAATCTGCACATAAAGATGAGGGTCTACTGTCACTGCAAAGCACTTCACCCGGAAGTTTAAAAATACATATGATTTATTTTTATTTTTTGTGAGTGGGTGTTTTGCCTGCATGTGTTGTCTCTGTACCCACAAAGACCAGAAAAAAAGTATCAGAACTTCTGGAACTGAAGGTACAGATTGTGAACCACCATGTGGGTGCTGGGAACTGAACCAAGAACCTCTGAAAGAGCAGCCAGTGCTCTTAACTACTGAACCATCTCTCCAGGACTCTCACTCATAAGTTTAGCCAGTGTGGAGAACTGTGCTGGATACTGAGAAAGGAAGAAAGATGATGAAAGAAGGGGCATTGGTACATCATTGCAAGGTACACCCACCTTCTAATACAAAAATGATCATAAGCAAATACTGTGGGCATCCATGTGATAAGAGACAGAATGAAAAGACCCCGAGTAAGACAGTGTTGTGGGTTAAATTGTGACCCCTGGGGGAAGGCACAGGTATGATGAAGTCTTGGCTCTAAGCACCTCAGAATGTGGCTTATTTGGAAAATAGGATCTTTGCGGAAGTGTTCAACTTACAATGAGTCCATTTGGGTGGGCCCTAGTCCATATGAACAGTACTCACACAGAAAGAAAAGCAACCCTGGGACACAGTGACAAACACATGGAAAGCGATGTGAAATCACTCTGAGAGGTGGGTCATACGAAGGCAAAGATCAGCATAATGCCACCACAGAGCAAGGACTGCTTGGGGCCATCAGAAGCCAGACAGGGCAATGAAAGAGCATGTCCCCACTGAGTTACAGAATTAACAGAAACCTCCATTGCTTCCAGTCACTTGGTTTATGATTCCTAGTGACAGCTGTAGGACACTATTAAAGATATGAACTACTGAAATTCACTCCAGAAGAAATGGGAACTCTGAAAAGAACCGCAGTGGATAATGGGGCAGACTGAGTGACTAAAACCTTCTGTAAAAATAACCCAGGCCCAGAAGGCTGAACTGACAAAGTCTACAGTATTTACAGAATTAACAGAAATCATCCACAAACTCTTCAGGTAATAGAACAGAAAATCCTGACTTCTCTACTTCCTTACTCATTCTGAGAGGCCAGTTTTACCTTGACAGCAAAAGCCAAAGTCATTCCTAGGAAGAAAGCAATACCTCTTAGGAATACAGAGCAAAAACCTTAGGTAAACATTAGCTATGCAAGTTCAGCAACACCCAAAAATGAATGCACATCACGGCTAAAGGAAATTTCCTAGAAATGCAAAAATGGCTCAACATACAGAAATCAACACAGTGGGCCACACTGGCAGAAGGGAGCACGAGAGGACCACATGACTCAGAAAAAGCATTTGAAAAAATAAAATGGCCTTTTGCAATTAAAAAAAAAAAAACCTGCAGGAGAGAACACTCATAAGACATTAAAGGCCATACAGGAAAATCTCAGCATTAATACCACACTCAGTGGTAAAAGGCTGAGACATTTTCTCCTGAGACAAGTGCAAGACAAGGATGTCTGTTTTTAGCGCTTCTATTCAACACAGAACTGGAAATCCAACCCAGAGCAGTGGGCAAGAAAGAAAGAAAGAAAGAAAGAAAGAAAGAAAGAAAGAAAGAAAGAAAGAAAGAAAGAAAGAAAGAAAGAAAGAAAAGACTCGGATTGGAAAGGAAGATGGGAAAGTATCTGTACTCACAAATGTCATGGTCTTCTACACAGAAAGCTCCAAAGGAAATGAAATGACTCCACCAGCTCTGAAAAGAAACGGGATAAACCAACACAACAGGCTGGGCTGGAGAGACAGCTCAGCAGTTAAGAGCACTGGCTGCTCTTGCAGAGGATCCAGGTTTGGTTCCCAGCACCCGCCTGGTGGCTCACAACCATCTTTAACTCCAGTTCCAGGAGATCCAGCATCCTCTTCTGGCCTCTCTGGGTATCATTACCCACATGTGGTACACACATACACATACAGGCAAAACACTCAGATACATAAAAATAATAACAGACCTCTTAAAGGTATTAATAAAAATCTAAAAATAAAGGAAATAATTTTGATAATAATATAGTCAAAAAGAATTAAATTCTTGGCACTCAACTTACTTACTAATCAAGGCCAAAACCTGTACTCTGAAAATTATAAAACTTAGGATCTATATAAATGGAAAGATAACCCATGTTCATCAATTGGAATATTTAATATTCTCAAGATGTTAATCCTGGGCTAGAAAGATGGTTCAGCTGGTAAAGCCTAGGCTCAAAACCAATCAAGATGTCAACTACTGTCATGGCTACTACTGATTTCAACTTGACAAGATCTAGACCCATCCCTGAGAAAAGCCTCTGGGCATACTTGGGATGGATTTTCTTTCCATGTTAACTGAAATAAGAACACCCACTTTACATGTGGGTGGCACCTTCTGGTGGAGGATCAGACGGGAAAAAATCCTAGGAAAGGAACGGTCTGCTTTTTGCCGCTTGCCTTTGCCTCCCACTGCTCTATTGCCGCCACTGTCACTGACATCATCAGAACTCAGGTTCTTCAGACTTCTAACATGAAAACCAATGGCTCTCCCGGGATCATACAGTGCCAGACTGGGAGCGCTGAGTGTCTAACCTCACAGACTGAGGAGCTGCTCAGTTCTCAGCATCTCCAGCATCAACTGTTGGACTGCCCAGACCTTATCCTATAAGCCAATCTAATAAATCTCCCCTTTAATATATATTCAACCAACTTAATATATATTCATACAATTCGTTCCTCTTGAGAACCCTGACTAATTCAGTTATCTAAAATTCTCTATGGACCCAATGCAATTACAACAGAGATCACACAAGTCCCTTGTGGTAACTGATAAACTGACCTTCAAGTTCAACAAAGTGGCAATTGGGTGTGGTGGAAGACAGCTGTAATCTCAGCACTTGGAAAGCAGAGACAGGAAGACTGGGGCTCAAAGTCATCATCTTCAGCTGCATAGAGCGTATAAGGCCAGCCAAAACCAGCTTGGAAAGATGGCTCAATGATGTGCTTATGGAATCTGCACCAAGACCCATTCAGATCCTCAGACCCTCAGCACCAACTTAAATAAA